TTCCGAATTTTAAAGGCTGACTAAATCCGGATGAATTAATTAGTTGGCTACATATAGTAGAGAGAAATTTTAAATTCAAATAAGTTCCCCAATAACAAATTGCAAAGCTTGTAGCCATTAAATTGAGAAACAGCACCACTCTTTGGTGGGAAAATGTTAAGAGAACATGGAAAAGGGGGGTCGATCCAAGATTTCCATTTGGAGCAAGATGAAGAAAGAACTTAAATGTAAATTCCTTCCGTAACACCATCAACAAGAGGCGTTCATTCAACTACAACACCTTCATCAACAAGAATAGTCACCGGAAGAATATGCTGCTGAATTAAAATGTAAATTCCTTCCGTAACACCATCAACAAGAGAAGTTCATTCAACTACAACACCTTCACAACAAGAATAGTCACTGGAAGAATATGCTGCTGAATTGGAACAACTAAGCCTGAAATGTAACCTTTACGAATCTAAAGAACACACAATTGCACGTTTCCCGGGTGGTCTATGAATATCTATAGCCAATGTAGTTCAACTACAACCTTTCTGGACACTAAAAGATGTAATTAGCTCGGTTGTTGAGGTAGAAAAACAACAAAAAATGGGTGGGAATGTTCCAATGCGCATTCCTACCACTGACTTGGGCGGTTCAAGCAAAACGATTCAAGTCCGGATGCAGCCAAGCGAACAGAAGGTTGAAAACAATAACAAAACTACAAATCAACCGCGGGGAACTGCTACCACAGACATGGGAGGAACTTCTTCCAATAGAAGATGTTTCAAATGCCATGGTTTTGGCCACATAGCTTCAAATTGTCCAAATTGATGCGCCATTTCTTTGGTAGAGGAAGTTGAACAAGGGGAAGATGATGTTGTACAAGAAGAAGACTATCTGGCGAGGGAGCAAGTCATACATGCAAATTAAGGGGAATTATTTGTGATAGTGTCAAACAAATTTTCAGTCAAGATTGGTTATGACACAACATCATTAGAATCTAGTACAAGGTTGAGGACAAGGTTTGTAACCTTATCATCAACGACGAAAGTTGTGAAAACGTGATTTCAACAACTATGGTGGAGAAGCTTGAGCTAGTTACACAATTTCATCCCCATCCCTACTAATTCATGTGGCTCAAGAAGGGAATTGAAATTAAAATCACCCGACAATGCTTGGTGCAATTTTTATCAATCGAAAACTTCAGGAGCAGTTATTATGTGACATAATTCCTATGGATACTTGTCATATATTGTTTGGCCCGCCTTGGCAATATGACCGTCGTACAATTCATGATGGATGTGCAAATACTTATTCATTTATCAAAGAGGGAATTCAAACCACCTTGGTGACAATGAAGAAGGAAATTCAGTCGAGGACTGAACTCAACACTTTTACTCCACAATTTCTGAAAGACTAGAGGAGGCAACCACGGGGTACCTCCTCATCATATCTGAAACTTTTGGACATCCATCGACATCCCCTCCTGAAGTACAGGGATTGGTACAATAGCTCGAAGACATTTTTACGACGAAATTCCTATGGGATTACCTCCTACACAGGGATTGGTACAATAGCTCGAAGACATTTTTACCTATGGGATTACCTCCTATGAGAGAGGCACAACATGCCATTAACATTGTTCCTGGTTCGATCATCCCCACAGACCCGCATATAGGATGTCTCCAAAGGAACATGAAGAGCTTCAATGTTAGGTGGATGAGCTGATTAGCAAAGGCTCGTTGCGGCGTAGTGCTAGCTCGTGCGTGGTTCTGATTCTCTTGGTTCCAAAGAAGGATGAGACCTGGAGCATGTGCATTGACAGACAGTGAATAAAATCACTATCAAATATAGGTTTCCTATTCTTCGATGGGATAAACTTTTTTATCAGTTAAAAGGGATGACTGCTTTTTTCCAAAATAGACCTTTGAAGCACATGCATCATCGAATATGTATACAGTAAGAAGAAGAATGGAAAGCAACGTTCAAGACTAATGCCCCGAAAATATTTATGCACCTAATGAATCAAGTCCAACCTTTAATGGAAAAGTTCATGGTGATCTATTTCAACGATACTTAGATTTATAGCTCTAACAAGGTTGAACATTTGCAACACTCCAAAGGCATTTTTGAGATCCTTCAGTCACAACAACTATTTGTCGATAAGGTTAAATGTGAATTCCTTGTTTCCCGCATCAATTTCTTGGGATTTTTGATCTCACCAACTGGAATGGAGTTGGATTCAAGCAAAATTGTTGTTGTAAGGGACTGGCCAACTCCTACATCCTTCACTAAAGTCAGACAATTCCAAGGGTTGGCCTCATTTATCGCCGGTTCGTCAAGAGTTTTAGTATTATTGCTGCCTCACTGACTTAATTGCTCAAGTTAGCCCATTTTTGCTGGACCAAGCAAACACAGCTCAACTTTGATCGCTTGAAATAGACCCTATGTACCGTTCCAGTGTTAAAGCTTCTAGATTTTGATCTTTTATTTGAGGTGGAGTGTGATGCATCTGACACCGGTATTGGAGCAGTCCTTAGTCAATAAGGACACCCCGTAGCGTTTTTCAGCGAAAAACTCAACGACTCTCGAAAGAATATTCAACATATGACAAGAATTCTATTTTACCGTAAAGGCTCTACACTATTGGAGTCGTCGTCTTTTAGCTAACAAATTTATTCTCAATATAAATCACGAAGCCCTCAAATATCTTTAGAGTAAAAAAAAACTAAAAGGAAGGATTGACAACTGGGTGGAATATATTTCAGCCTTTAATTTTATTCTTAAGCACAAATCAAGATTTTCTAATCAAGTGGTTGATGCTTTAGGTTGTTGGTAAGCTATTTTATTGGTCATGCAAGCACGGGTTGTAGGTTTTGAGCTGATATGAGGAATGTATGACAAGGATCCCAACTTTTGAGTGGGATGACAACAATGCCTAGCCCAAAATTATAAAACCTTCCACATCAAGAATGATTTTGTGTTCAAAAGAAATTGTTTATGCATTTATAAATGTTCCACTAGAGAAACCATATTGGTGGAAGGTCATGATGGGGGCCTAGCCAGCCATTTTGGAAGAGGTAAGACTCCAGCTCTTTTACTAAACAAATTTAATTGGCCCTTTATGCGTAAAGATATGAACCGGTATGTGGAGAAGTGTCATATTTGTCATTCAACAAAGAAAAAAACTCAAAATTCAGGTTTATACCTTCTCTTGCCCGTTCTTGAATATCCTTAGACGGATGTTAGCTTGGATTTTGTGGTTGGTTTATCATGCACTCAATAACACAACGATTCTAACATGGTGGTGGTGGATAGATTCTACAAAATAGCCCACTTTGTGCTATGCAAGGCCTCTTTAGACACCTCTCACATTGTCGATTTGTACTTCAATGAGATGGTCCATTTACATGGCATTCTACGTATTATCACTTCAAATCGAGATGTTAAGTTTTTAAGTCGTTGTTCGAATACATTATGGAACAAATTGGGAACCAAATTTCAATATAGTTCAGCTTCCCAACCACAAACCGATGGACAAACGGAGAAGTCTTGGGAATTTACCTTGTTGCTATGTGGATAAGAATCATGCACAAAGGGAGTTTTCTTCTATCACAAGTAGAGTTTGCCTATAATTGACCCTGCATCCAAACCACAAATACAACCCTTTAGAGGTAGTTTATAGAAAAAATCATATATCTCCATTTGATCTTATATTGGATATTCCAATCAAGGTCGTGACCCTGGAAATTGAGGCTCGGCTACAAGAAATCCAAGAGTACCATAAATTGGTTCAGGAGAACATCATTAGACAAAATGAAATGTATCGACGACAAACAAACAAGAGTACAAAGGCATCAAATTTCAGAGAAGGAGACAAAGTATGGATCTGTTTTAAGGAAAGAGTGTTTTCCTCGGGGAGAAGAGATGCAAAAAAGCTCAACGCCAAAGCCGATGGACCTTTTTGGATTGTGAAGCGTATTAATAACAATGCTTACCAAATTAATATCCACGGAGACTAATATTTCTACTTCGTTCAACGTCGCTGACTTGACTCCCCACCACAAATCCGATTCTAAAACTGCTTTTCATGAAGAATCCCTGACAATCCCGGGAGAATGACATTGGAGCTTGAAGAGTTTGTTTTCTTGTGGTTATTTTTATTTCAGTATTTTTATGAATCATGTTTTTTTTTCTGTAGTTTTATTTATTTTAGGTGACAAACTTGTAAATAGGAATAGTCTTAGCTTAAATATAAAAATCTGTAGGCCGTTTTGGGAGGGCCATTTTTGGAGAGAGTTTTATCTTTTCCTCAAAGTGGCTAGAAACTCCCACCGATTCCCTTGCTGCTGTATCCTGAGGTGGCTTTCAGGTGGTGTTTTGGCCAATGTATCGTGCTCTAGTCTCAGAATCCCTGAAATATATCTTGAGCAATTTCTGGCTGGTTTCCCTACTGCGTCTATCAGCTGCTGTACCAATCAGTCTATCCTTATTGGCTTATTATATAGCACCAACCTGTAGTATTAAAGGTGCACATACAAGGAATATAAGGAGACCACTGTCAAATCACAAATTGAATATGGCCACAGAATGGATTAAATATAGGGGCATTTACATACATACCACACAATTCGTATGCATTCACATATCTAACACCTAAACTTTCATTTTTACATTTATAAAACCCATATTTTTCATATCATAACTTTCAAAAAGTGAAATACACCTTTCATGTATAGATTAGGTGGCATGTATATGCAGAGATTGAAGTTTAGGAGTTAGATATGTAAATATATAAGAATTGAGTGGTATGCATGTAAATATTCCTTAAATATAGCAAGAAAAGAAACTAGAAAGCTAGTGAAACAAAAGTAATGCCGTTGAGTATCTTCCTTTCGCCCTAAATATGCCATTAGAAGAGCATCAAGACAATAAATCAAGCTTTTATTGACAAAAACATTATAAGAATGAATCATGATATTTATAATAGCATTATGATACAATCAATGACTTACATGTGGATCAGGATCTGGCACAAACAAGCACAGTCCATGCTCGCCGGTTATAACTGCTACACCTCCAGGTTGTAAGCAACCGGTGATGTAGAGGTAATCTGCGTCCTGTCGGAACGAGTACGGCACGATATCAGTCATCATTTTGACAGGAGTGGATGCGATGATAGCTAAGCTTCTCTCTGGGAGTAACTCTATAAGCTTTTTCCGCCTTGAGATGTACTCATCTACAGGGATGCCGGGCGTAATCTCTCCTTCGCTAAGTAGCTATGAAAGGAGAAAACATGATATCAAATCAACTTTCTAAAAAAATTTAAAGGAAGATTAAGATACAGACCACTGTATCTACACATGAAAAGGTGCATTTCATTTTTAAAGGTTAAAATGATGATAATTTTGATTTGATATAAGAGATTTTGGTGCTATAAATGTAAAAAAGCAAAGTTTAGGTGTTAGCAATGAAAATTCATAGGAATTGAGTGGGTATGTATGTAAATGACCCAACTTTAAATGAATAAATAGAAGCCAGAATATTTATCTGTTTAACTATTAATGTGAATAGGAACTTATTCATTAACCAGTCATCATTATCTTCACGTAATATTGGCAGCCAAAGTTATAATATCTTCTAGATGGAGCCTATATAGGACATATAACATGAGTAGTAAGCATGTGAGATCTAAAAAGCCACAACAAGAGAGTCCAAGTTGCAAAACAAAATTACAATCTTATCTTCTAAGGTTTTAAGTAGACATGAATCATAAAAGTAAAATATACAACAACAACGACGACAAAACCTTTATCCCACTAAGTGGGTTCGGTTACATGAATCATTTCTCTCCATTGCGTCCTCTTTAGTGTCATTTTTTCATTTAGATCTAATAAATTAAGATCATTTTTTATACAATATGCCTATCATGTTTTATACAATATGCCCAAAAAATAAAATATAAAGATAAAAAATAAAAATATAAATCTAAAGCAGAGGTGACATTCAGGACATATTTATAGAGTGTTTGATGAACAAAGGAATGGATCTGTTAAAAGAACATGACATAAGGAACAGTTTGATTAAATAAGACAACCATTTTGTACTTACTATGTTGGCATACATGATACACAAATCTAGAATATTTATAAATTCTTACATAAATGACTAAATTCAAAATTCACAATAAACCATCAACTTGCATGTTTCGTTTTTGTAAAGTTTCTGACGGTTTGATCATGGCACGTGCAAATATGGATTCAACATTAAAAAAATGACATGAGTGATAGTTTTGTAAATAGCAAAGATTTGGGTGGCATGTATGTAAGTTCGCCACAAAAATAAAGTCCTACCTATTGCATTTCCATGAGGAATAGGAAGCATATGAGCTCAAACACAAAAAAACAGAATACTGATATATTACTAAAACTATAAGGATTAATTAAAAAAAAGGAAAAAATTATAAATGTAGCACACAATTTTTGTGTATTTACATATCTCATATGTAAACTTTCATATTTAGCTACATATAAGGCTGTCAAAACGGCTCGTTGTTAGCGAACAGCTCGTGTTCGGCTCGTTCGCTAAGTTAACGAGCCGAACACGAATAGCAAGAATAAATATTTGTTCGTTCGTGTTCGGCTCGTTTTGGCTCGAAATAATACTAATCAATTATATATATATATATATA